AGTTAATTTAATTAACAACTTACCTTTCTCCATCATTATCTCAAATTTCTTTTGCTTTCTTTTTTGAAATCACCGCCATATTTTAATGATTTAAAATATTTTTTTGAACAAAAAATATGCTACGGTAATTAAAGGAATTTTAAATTACTATAATTATGAATTACTATAATTTTAAAATTGCACTTTTAAAATTATAATTAAATTGCTATAATTTTGTGTTAATTATAATTTTAAAATTATAATTATAATTTTTTTAATTCGATTTTCATACGAAATTCATCTCATTTTTTAAGAAGAATTGTTTAATTATTTATCAATTTTGCCAGCCTATTTTATTGCCAGCTTATTTCGTTTATTTTTAGGAATGAAAAAAGTAAAATTAAATTTATTTTTAGGAATGAAATAAATTTAATTTTGCTATCAGTTTATTTCCTCTGCCTTTATCACTTCTTGTTTTTAAGATATGCATGATATATAATCGATAAGTTGCTTTATTTTCATTAATCATTAATTTCCCCTATTAGCAGCATTTTATAGTTTAGAGAGATTTTTCTTTTCTTTTTATCTCTGTAAGATTTTTAGCTTCTATATGAGAGAGAAAGAGAGAGAGAGAGAGAGAGAAAGGGAGAGAGAAAGGAAGAGAGATTTGAGAATGTCATTTTTTTTTAAATACATAGTTTTAAATGAAATTAATGCGATGAAAAGAAAAGGCAAAGAAAATAATATAAATGGTATGAATCATTGCATTAATCATTCAAAGTACAATTATCATCTCTCCCTCTCTCTCTCTCTCTCTCTCTTTCTCTCTCCCTCCTTCTTTTTTCTTTCCTCTTTTTTCATTTTTCATTTAGATATTGATTACTTTTCTTTTACATAGCAATTTAACAGCCTAGGCCTAGTAAAATAGCCAAGTATTAGAATTTATGCTATTAAATTTGCAAGGTTAGCTTTTAGATAATTAGTAAATAAATAATAGCCGAATTTTATATATTTAATTATGAAACTTCTTTAATTCATAATTCTTTTCAATTTTATTATCATCATTGTTTAATTTGATAATTAATATAAATTTATTCTGATAATAAGATAACATTTTAATTTCGAAAGCATTTCAAAAATTTAAATTTAGATTTGAAGCTTAAAACTTTTATACTATTATAACTATACGATTAATTGATAATTGTATATTTTTGAAGATAGGTATGAATCGAACGTTGAGTTCACCAACTTGCTCAACAAATTCCCAATCAACTGTCAATAACGATGCTAATGAATTGGCTGCCAAATTAGCTAGAAGGAATATGATCGTTGAAGGTTATCTTTTTTTTCTTTTCCTTATCCGTCTGAGTGGCTGTTTTTCTCTTTCCTTTTCCTTATCCGTTTTCCTTATCCGTCTGATGTGGTTATCTTTCTCTTTCCTTTTCCTTATCCGTCTGATGTGGTTATCTTTCTTTTTCCTTTTCCTTATCCGTTTTCTTCTCCGTTTGATGTGGTTATCTTTCTCTTTCCTTTTCCTTATCCGTTTTCCTTATCCGTCTAATGTGGTTATCTTTCTCTTTCCTTTTCCTTATCCGTTTTCCATATCCGTCTGAAGATTTATCTTTTTCCTTACTTCACCTTATCCTTATTCAATTACAATTTGCATACTTTTTTCGGTTTACTGTAATTAATTAATATTTCGGTTTACTTAGATTAATTAATGACTTAAGCAAATTATTATTTGTATTATTATTATTATTATTATTATTGTTATCATTATTGTTTTTAATTAATATTATTTCTACAATAAATCATTTCTAATTACAGGTGAATCAGTGGAGCAAGCAAAACCTCCCAAACTTTCGATCTATTCCGAATTTCATGAATTTACACGAAAACAAATCAAATATTTCATGGAAACATTTAAAAAGTTTGTTCTAAAAATATTTCAAAATTTAATTTTTAGATTTGAAACAAACTTAAATAACTTCAAAATCAAAATTTTAAAAGTTATCTGAAAATTTAATTTATGTTTAACTGAGAAAAACAATTTAAATGTTCTTCAAAGCATTTTACTAATTGAAACTTTTTCTTTCTTTCTTTCTCTCTCTCTCTCTCTCTGAATTGTTAAGTTTCATTCTTATCTCTTTTATTTATCGTAAAATAATCCAAATTTCATTTATATCATTCATATTATTAATATCGCTTTAAATGCTTGGCATTTTTTTCATTAATGATTTTAGGTGGCATTTATTAAAAGAGTGTAAAATAGTTATGTATTTAATATATCAAAACTTATGGATATGATATACATATTAATTAATTAATATATCATATGAAATTATAAATATCATGGAGATCATGATAATTATATTAATTTCAATGAATTAAAACAAACTTTTAGATATAATATACATTTTAATTAATTATTATATCATATGAAATTATAGATATGATGAAGATCACGATAATTATATTGATTTCAATGAATTAAAATGAACTTATGAAATTATAGATATGATGAAGATCACGATAATTATATTGATTTCAATGAATTAAAATGAACTTATGAAATTATAGATATGATGAAGATCACGATAATTATATTGATTTCAATGAATTAAAACGAATGATGGAGAAATTGGGTGAAGCGCAAACACATATTGCACTAAAAAATATCCTCAAATTGGTGATTTATTTTATATTTTTAAAAATTTTAAATTTTTAAAGATTTCGATTTTGAAATGAAAAATTTTTGCATTATTAAATGTATAATAAATTGGGTTATGATTCATATGAAAATATTCTACAAATAGCAATGCTTTAAAATAAGCTTGATAATTAATTGATTGATTGATCGGCCGATCGATTGATTGATTGATCCATCCTTTAATATAAATGAATCAAATATAAAATCAAACCAAATAAATAACTTTTGTTATATCCGAAAATTGTTGTAGTATTTTCAAGAGTATTCTCATCCGATTTATCTACCATGATATCATGCATCCTGCTTTCCGATATATCTCTATTCAAAAAAAAATCTCAGCATTTTAGGTAGATGAAGATCAGGACGGTAAAGTAAGTCCACGTGAATTCATGCTTATATTCCGTTATGCATCTACTGGCCAACTATCTTGTGCGACAGTTTTCAACGAATTAGCTGCATCAGTAGATGTGGTAAAGGAAGGAGTACATGCTGCTGCTGATTTCTTCGAAGCTAAAGTTTTCCATTTCTCTTTTCTTTTTTGTTTTAGAAATTTAATAATTATTTTAAAATTGTGATACTTCAGTTATTCATTTTTAAAAAAAGTTAGATTAGTTTGTAAAAGTTCATGAATTTTACTTTCACCAAAACAATTTGTTTATTTATAATTGTAATAATTAATTAATTATAATGTTTTAAGATAAAATTTTTTCCCAATTTGTTTATTTATAATTATACTAATTAAATAATTACAATAATTTTGTTTAAGAGAAAAATTTTTTTCCAACAATTTCGTACTTTCAAATTTTCTTCTTTGTTGTAGATCGAAGAACAAATAAAACTGAGCAGATTTGAGGAAGAAATTCGAGCTGAACAAGAAGAAAAGAAATTAGAACAAGCTGAGAGAAAGGAACGCCGACAACAATTTCTTGCAAATAAATCAGTTTTTATATAAATTAATTGAAATTTTTGTTTTCAATTGTGCAAATTATGTTTTGAAATTTAAAAATTAGACAACTGTTAAATTATGTATGATTGAAATGAATTTTAATTTCACTTTAATTGTATATGTATCATTTGGGAATATTATCGAAATTCTCTTTTAATTTTCAATTTCTCTGAATTTCTAGATTTCTTCCATCAAAAAAAAATCAGTGCTTAGCTAACTAAGATCAGGTTGGCGCAACTTATAACTAATTAAGGTCAGATTGGCATAACTTGTAGCTAAATGAGATCAGCTTGGTACAACTTATAGCTAACTATGATTAGGTTGGCATAACTTATAGCTAACAAAGATCAGGTTGGCATAACTTATAGATAATTAAGAATAGGTTGGCATAACTTATAGCTGAGATCATTGGCACAACTTATAGCTAATTAAGATCAGATTAGCATAAGCTAACTAAGATCAGATTGGCATAACTTACAGCTAATTGGGATCAGCATGGAACAGCCTATAACTAATTAAGATCAGGTTGGCATATTCACTATATATACATATACGAGCAGCAGACATAAATCATAAAATATCATATTGATTGGCATAACTTATAGCTAACTAAAATCAGGTTGGTATAACGTATAGCTAATTAAGATCAGGTTGCCATATTTACTATATATATGAGCAGCAGACATAAATCATTATAAAATATCATATTGATTATTTTGTTGAAATCGTAAAAATTGAATATTTTTCCGTATTATTATCAAATTTGGAAAAATTGAAATAAATTTTCAATATTTAAAAGAACATTTCTTCTTCTCTATCTCACAACTTTGGTTTGCAAAATAAAAATTTTTAAAATAATTTCTTCGGTGTAAACAAATTGTTTATTGTTGATAATGAAATCGTGTTGAAATCGTACAACAATACTGTTTAAATAATTTTTCTTATTTAAATTTATAATAATTATAAATTGAAATTTGATAAGAATCAATGTTAATTTTATTATTAGATTACAATTAGCCAACTTTATTAATTCTACGTGAAAATATCGTTACGATAAGTATGATTCAGTTTCTTTAAATATATCATTCAATTCCTTTTTGATTTCTGATTTTAAATCAATTTCTCCTAAAATAAGAATAAATTTAATTTTACTAAATCAAGTGCAAAATTAATGCCGTAAAATTAATTTATGAATTTAAGAAAGAAATAATTTGTTAATTTCAAAAAGGTATTTTTCTGTTTTCCGGTTGTTTAGTATTATTGAGGTATTCCTGTTCGGCTGAAACATCGTATCCGATTAACTTCATAGCTTTCATTAATCGAAATTCTTCCAGTTCTTCAGTAGTTTTATTCAAACTATCGGATATGGCTAATAAAAGTCTTGAGTTAGTGACAAAAGCTTTCAAATCATTCGATAGATTTTCTGGATTCACTCGCGATGTAAGTTATATAATTAATTATTATCATTTAATTTAATTACTTAATTCATTAACAAATATGAAATATTTCTTAAATGAAATTATTGTTTTTCTGAAATAACGAAATTTTATTTATATTTAATTGTAAGCATTAAATTACAATAAAATTGTTTACATTTAATTTTTGTAAGATTCTTTTTCTTAAGTAAACTATTTTAGTTCTTAAACAATTTTTGCCACTTCAAGGACAATTTTCTTTTCGCCTTCAAAATAATTCTTGCCAGTTTGCTTTTTCTAAATTCATTTCTATCTTTTATTATGTACATATTTTAAATTCCAAAATTTTCTTAGTTCTTTTTTCATTTCGATTTTGTTTAAAAATTAAATTAGACTTTTTGCATCACTCAGTCATAGTATATATGTACAAATAATAATAATAATAATAATAATAATAATAATAATAATAATAATAATAATAATAACAATAACAATAATAACAATAATAACAATAAAATAATAATAGTAACACTAATAATAATAATGATGCTAATAATAAATCTCCTCTACCTATAATTTAGTGCCGCGTAATATCGGTAAATGACGGAATTGTAAAACTTGAAATGGATGTAACAAAGGCGCATTTAAACTCATCAGGACAATTACATGAGGGTTGCTTAGCTGCACTTGTTGATATGGTCACATCGGTTGCAATAAGAACCAGTAAAATTGGTGAGATGGGCGTTTCAATCAACTTAAATATGTCGTTAGTTTAATTAATTAATTAATTATTTTATATAAGATTTTTATTTTAATATTTATTTTAATTTATACACTAATATTATTTACTTTTAAAATAGAATATATATTTATTGATTTTTGAAGCAAAATTTTGAATTTAATTAATTTTATAATATTTCAAATAACTAAATACCATTCTTTCATTCTTATCGAAGAAAAACAGAAATAATAATATTAGTTAATTTATCTATTTTCTTCTTTCAATCCTTGCTAATTATACTCAATTAATTAGGTATCCAAATTGCGCCAAACTTAGCGATACAATTCTTATAAATGGTACTTTATTGCATTGTACCAATAAATTGGCTCATACTCGTGCTGAAATTCGACGAAAAAGCGATAATTTACTAATTGCTTATGGACAGCATACGAAAGCTTTCCCTAAAAAATCTCAATGATCTTCACTTTTATTCTATTTTCAAATTTAGTGATACAGTGAAATTGAATTATTTTGCAAATTGTACTATATCAAACTTGATGAATGTGATACAGCGAAATTGTTTTATGGTGTGTATCATAAAGAATTGTAATAAATTATATTTGAATTAAAAATTTTCTACAAAAGAGTGAATTGAAAATTTGAAAATAATCAAAATTATCATATACTTAATTTAATTCGTTTTATTCGAATTTCTTTTTTGAAAATTTATAATTTAATGAACTAAAAATCATTCATTGTTTTTTTTTTAAATTCAAATTTTATTTTAATATTTAAAATGTCTTATTTACACTATTGTAATTTTAAAAATTTATTATCTAAAAATTAAATTAATTATCTAAAATTAATTATCAATTAATTATGCATTCTTTTTTGGATATTAAATTGAAGTAATAATAATAGTATATTTTCTCAGATACTTATCCAAAATTTATTCGGATAAAAATTATGTTGAATTCAACGCGCAATTGACTTATGAATCTGTTAATTCTTGTTTACAAGTTATGAATCTGTTAATTCTTGTTTACAAGTTATGAATCTGTTAATTCTTGTTTACAAGTTATGAATCTGTTATTGCTTGTTTGCAACTTATGAATCTGTTATTTCTTAAGGACATCATTACTGTCAGTAGCATGACAGTTTGAGATATTCAAGAAGTTAAACAAAATTTTCATCCTTCCAGATTAACAACAGTAAGCAAAAATTTTCACATCTAATAAATTGATTTTTGATGGAAATAAAATTTCCATTAATCATCCATAAATATAGCTGGAAGAATCGATAAATATAACCGGAAGAACTTAGCTATTCTAATTGACCTTCATTGTTTCTTTCTCAAGTTTTTCAAAAAATCAATAAGTAATTTTAATATTACTTCACAGCACATGTTAAATTGCTTTCATCCATAAATCTATCAATTTTATTTATTCTGTACATTTCAAACGACATTACCGCATGATGCAATTGTTCGATGCTAAGCGCAATCAAAAGCGCAACTATAATACTGCAAAACTTAGCATGCATAATTGAATAGCAATGATAGGCATTTTATCCTTTCACATATATCAAAAATGAAATATGAAAATCCAAATAGTCCAAATAGTTCAACTTTTTTTCTGTGAAATTTCTAAGTGATATATTCAATGACACTCTCTTCCGGAGCTTTTTCAACTTTCCGTTTTTCTGATTTTAAAAGAACTAATAATTTCCTATATAAAATGTACATATAAATTTGGTTTAAATTATTTTTGAAAGTAATCAGGTTTAGTTTTTCTTTTTGCATAACAAAGTTCAGAATGAAAATTATCAATGGTATAAAATACTACAAAATACTATAAAGCCTAAATACTATAAAACCTAAATACTATAAAATACTTTATTTTTTAGTCTTATACTATAAAATCTATTATTAATTAGTCTTTGTTGAAAAAAATAGCTTCTATCAAATTTCTGTTATCAAATTAATCGCTTATCAACAAATATCAATTCGGCCGATTAGCTCTTAGAACTATGAAAAATTTATCAAATTTAAAAAATAAGAATTGAAAATAACAATGTAATGATTTTCGAATTTTCAACATACATCAAAGATAAAAATATCTGTTTATTATAATTCGATTACAATCGAAGAAAGAAAATAATTTGATGAAAAATACAAATTGATAAAAACCACAAAATGAAATGATAAGAACTGATAATTTCAAAAGCATCGATTTATTACAAAAATTTTTTACGAAAAGCATATCTATTCATTATATTAGAATATCATACATAATGTGGTTCTAACATTATTTTCTTCAATATATCCTCACGTGATTGCGGCCTATAAAATATATGAAAAGAATTATGAAATTAAAATTTCAATAAATTTTTATGATTTGAAAAAATTTTTTTTAAATATTAATAATAGGTTGAAATTAAATTTACAGCTGGAATATCGGATATTATCTCTAAAAAAATTTAAAATTTAAATTAAGCAAATTGAAGGAAGTATAGTATCAGTGTATAAATTTATCTTTGATTTAGATTTCTAAGGTAAAATAAGCTGAAAATTAAGTGACTGAGCCTATAAAGTCCATTTCTATTATAAAGGCACTCTTCATTCCCTTCATTTGAAAAAGGCCTAGTTTATTTCTTTTATCAATAAATGCCTAGTTCACAGAGGCTTAATTTAATTTATCCGTTCACAAAAATTCTTTCATTCGTCCGTAAAAGCATAAAAGTTTATTTTTCCATAAAAGCTTAATTTATTCCTTTCATCATAACAAACTTCCTCTATTAAATGATTAAAAAATTATACATAAAAAGATACCGATAACTGGATAGGATAGAATAATGAAGAATATGTTTTGAACGTTTAGAAAATTACCTTCGTTGATTGTTTAGTTCGATACGGCTCCTAGCGATACTACAAAATGGTGAATCTTTAAGCCATCTATCCCAGGCATAGGTAAAAAATATGAATATAAATGGTATTAAATCAATAATGATCATTAATACTATTGCATATGGTAATAATAATACATTCTTAATACGTGGAATGCATGGTTCCTGAAATAAATTTTAATTGAAATTTTAATTGAAAGAATTAAATTGTATAAATTTAAAGAAGTTTGAATACAAAAAAGTTCGATGTAAAATATAATAGTATCAATGTAAAATATAAAATATAATAATAACCAATAATATCGAAATATAGTAATATCAATTAATTTTTTTCAATGTTTTATATTAAAGAAAATGAATGAGTTAACCTGTAAGCTAAGTTCTACCAGCTGACTGATATAATCAAATTGACAGGCAAATCGTGATTCCACTCGATTAGTTAATTTCTTCTCTCTAAAATTCAATGAAATAATTAAAAAGATAATTTCAAGAATTTGTTTTAAATTAAATTCTAATTTACTTCCTTCTTATTCCTACCCTTTCACATCTCATTAAAATTCTTTTGTTTTTAATCATTAACAAAAAAGAGATATACATAAAAGGATCTGCAAAATTATTTATTTAGAAAAGATCATTAATTAATTACTAAATTTAGATTTCGAACAATTAAGGAAATTCCCGAATTCATCCTAAAATTAGATCTCGGAATTGGCGCAATTTTTTATTCAGAGCTATTAATATTCTAAACTATTTATTGTATTTAAAAAAGATCATTAATTAATTACAAATAAAGATTTCGAATAATTTAGGAAATTCACGGGTTCATCCTAGATTTAAATTTCGGTAATTTGTATTGTGACCTTTCTTTTCAGTCTGACCTATCAATATCCTAAGTTATTTTTTCTATCTTTTTGCTTAATTTATCAAAAGCATTAACCGTGGAAGTTTTTCAGTGAAAAGTTTATCGACGATAGTAGGATACATAAATGAACTGTACAGCAATGGATTAATTAATATAATTAGTTGTGCAGCCATAAAGAATAATACCAAAAATAGAACAACCTAAAATGAATGAAAAAAATAATTCGAAATATGAATAATTCATATCGTGGAAAAATGAGCTATGAATATATTTAAATAACAGTTCGAAGAATTTAATCAAAAATTCCTTAAATTTAAATATGTAATAAAATTGATTGATTTCATTTTAATAATTCAATTATACTTTACAGTAACAGTGCCATAAAATATTTCACAATTTGTTGGATGAAATAAAATTTCAACGATTGATAATTAAATAAAACAATGGCAAAAGCTTACTCACACGATAAAATAATTTGTAGTGGCTATTTCTAACAATTTCAGAATTTGCCATAAATGTTAATGGTGAAAGAAATATTGCAACAATAATATTTACAACGGCTAAATTCCACAAAGCTATATGTGACTGAAAATGATTTCATATATTAATTAGAGAAATTCAAATGAATTCATCATTGATTAAAGAGAATAGAAACTATAAAGTTTAATTATATGATTAGTTTTATATTATAACATGAATATTTATTAGGATCAAACAATAATCGATCTAATTCGATATGAATATTGATTAATGATCAAACGATGATCGGTATGATATGATATGAATATTGATTGGTGATCAAACGATATCGATATGATATGGATATTGATTAATGATTAAACGATATGATATGGATAATATTTAATGATTAAACGATATGATATGGATGTTGGTTAATGATTAAACGATATGATGTGGATATCAGTTAATGATTAAAGTATCTCTGCTGCATTCTTATCATATTTAAGAAAATCAAATGATAGAAAATATCAAATAATACTATTCATTTCTAATAAAATAAGTTTAAATGTTAATTTTATTTTAAAAATATCAATGAATTAATTATCCATCTTTCTTTCATCTCAACTTCGTTCACTTCTTTGATCTTTAACCCTAAATATTTATGAATTCTGAAATTATAAAAATTAATATATATTATTATATAGTTATTATTATTATTATTGATATTAATAATGTTAATATTAATATAGTTAATATAACATACCTTGTGTAATATGTTGTAATATTCATCAAGTTCGGCAGCTACTAAACATTTTTCTTTATCAACATTTTCGGTTCCAATGCAAGTAACTGGTTCATTATATGGAATGCTTAATATCTCATTTGATTCTTCATTATCATTTTGTAACTCATCTCCTACCATCATTTCCATCGGTATTGTTGTTTCATTATCAAATAAATTTTCTGGAAAAAAAAATATTAATTTTTGATTGCAAAGTAAATAGATGGAATGGTCATCCAAATTATCCAAAAATTAAATGACCACTGTCATTTGGATGACCGTTTTTTGGACGAAGAATGATTTTTTATTGATCATTCAATCATCTCTCATTATCTTCATCCATAAAAACGATTATCCAAATGACAGTGGTCATTTAATTTCAAACAATCTCCACAATCATCTCTCATTGCCTCAATAATACCTATCTAAGGTATGATGCAACGATGATGAAATTTCGACATATTTCATTTTAAATCAGATGAAAACATTGAAATTGCAACATCTAAAATATTTAGATGCTACAATTAGAAACTAAGAAAAAGCATCTGGCATAAGAGACTATTATTTTTGCAACAAAATTTTGAAATTTTTTTTTCGAAATATTCTTGAAAATTTAATATATTTTTTTAACTTTACCATTTATCCAAATATCATCATCATCATTATCATCATGCAAAATTTCCTCATTCTCTTCGCTAGAAGTAGTTTCTGATAAATCAATAACAGCAGCATTGGTACTTGATGATTGTGAATTGATAATCATTTGACGTGATGATTCGATATATTGTGTTAATTCCTGATGTGCTGTTTCATGAAATAAACCAAATATTGTCAAAACCACAGCAATTGTAATCAAACAACCAATAATACAATATCCCAATCGATGATCTAATTTTCGTTTAAATGCTTTAAAAGTCTGAAATTACATATATATTCATCAGAAAATGAAATTTTAAAAATTTCTACTTATTTAATAAAAAAATTTAAATATCATTAAAAAAAGCATTTTCATAAAAAAAAGGAAGTTAAATTGATATTTATGAAAATTTAACACCAACCGGTCCATTATGATAGATTTTTTGTATACCGCCACCACGTAATGTACCGTTACCACGATGATATGAACGAATTGGAGATGATGAAGCTGAAGCTAACGATGATCTATCTATTTCTTCCATAATAATAGTAATAATATCTGCAAGCTATTTTAGAAATTAAAATATAATTAAAATTTTTAATATCTAAATGTCATTTGTTTATTGTTGTAGAAATCTTAGTAGATGTAATTTTTATTATGAAATAATTTTCAATTATTTAATTTCTAATTAAAAATTCAACAATTAAAAATTCAACAAATTCAACAATACCTGCTTAATTAACTAAAATTAAAATGAATTAATGATGTATTTGATATAAATATTAAATACAAATTAAAACTTTTTTTGATAACAGAACTATTTAAATTATAACTAATTAACTTGCAAATATTTATTCCCTAATTGTCTGTAATTTAATATTAAATTACAAATATTAAATATAAATATTAAGTACAAATGTTAAATACAAATATTAAAATATCTAATACAAACATTAAATCAAAATATTTATAAATTACTTCCAAACTAATTACCTGCTTAATTAACTAAAATTATAATGAATTAATGATGTATTTGATATAAATATTAAATACAAATTAAAAAATTATTTAATATAAATATTAATTAAATACGAATAACTTGCAAATTAATTACCTACAAATAATTTATTTATTAAAACTAAAATTAATTAACGACCATCGAATAATTTAGGCTTTGTTAAATTTTTCTTTCTTTTATGAATAATTCGTATCCATTCCTACCATTTCTCTTTCTCATCTATTGTTTTAATCATTGTTTTTATAATTAGAAATTTTATTATCATTAAAAAAACTTTTAACAAAATTGATGCAAAATTTTGAGCATTCATTGTTTAAAACAATTAAATTAAACAAGGATTACGGTAAAATTTAAATTCTATCCTAAAATTTTTGTACAGTAAAAGAAGAAGGAATTGGTTTCGACAGGAAAAATCAAATGAAAGAATGTAAAAAGAAAACTTTGTTATTTTCAAATGAATTTATTATTATGTATTTAATTATTCAATTAATTATTAAACATTATAATTAATAAATTGGCCAATTATCCATTCATTAAATTGCAACAAAACAAAAATATTACCATTTTATATTGTTAAATATCCTTAAATAATGCTTCATTTACAATGCTGTTAATAAATAGAGAAATAATTTTACAAATTAAGCCATAATAATAATAATTCATCCAAAATATTTATCGTTATAAAACAATGAAAGTATTTTTTTGTTGCAATTAATTTATAATTAATGTAAATGTCGAAATATTTCTTCTACAACGAAGAAAAAAACTATTTGAAAATTTTCGACGATATAATTAAGTAACTAAATAAAGATATCAATTAAGATTTAATAATTAAGATGCTTTTCATATCATATCAAAATTATATTTATATCTAATAGTTAATTGAATAACTGATTAAAGATATCAATTGGGAATCAAAAATTGAAACACTTTTCATATCATATCAAAATTATATTTATATCTGATAGTTAATTGAATAACTGAATAAAGATATCAATTGGGATTTAAAAATTGAAATACCATTCATGTCATAACAAAATTATATTTATATTTGATAATTAATTGAGTAACCGAATAAAGATATCAATTGTGATTTAAAAATTAAAATACCTTTTCATATATTAACATTTGATAGTTAAAATGCTAAATTGTAATTTTAAAAACTAATCTCTTTAATCATAACAGTATTTGTTCGTATTTTCAGGTCATTTAAATAGATCAAAAAAGTTTTTTTCCGTTTAATACAAATGATAATTCTGTAGGATAATGAAAGAGTGAAAAAAAAAATAATTGGAAGTTTTTCATTTCAAATATTGAATTATTTGAAGGTCAATTTAAAATTACTTCTCAATTGCTCAAACAATTTTTTAAATCATTAATTACAAGTCATATTTCATTTGAATTTGTAAACTCATTTTCAGTTGTGAAATTTTTTCTTCCTTAAATTACTAATTAGAATAAATGTTTATAAAAATACAAATAGAAATATATATATATATACCATTATGCAAAAGAGAATCTCTCAAGTAGGATAAATAAATAAGTCGAATAATAGAATTGTATTGAATAATTAAAATAAATTAATGAAAGAAATCGATTAATAATCGAAATCTATTGAGTAACTAAATAATCGAATTGTATTAAATTATTAATAATAGAACTGTATTGAATAATTAATATAGAATAATGAAAGAAGTCGAGTATTGAATAATTAAAATAGGATAATGAAAAAATCGATTAATAATAGAATTTTATTGAATAATTATTGATAATAGAATTTTATTGAATAATTATAAAATAATGGAATTGTATTGAATAATCATTAATAATAAAATTGTATTGAATAATTATTAATAATAGAATTGCATTGAATAATTAAATAATAGAAATGTATTGAATATGTATTGATAATAGAATTGTATTGAATAATTATCAATAATGGAATTGTATCGAATAATTAAAATAGGATAATGAAATAATTAAATAAAAGTAAACAAAAGAAATTAATAACTTAAAATTATTCGATCAAATTATTACTGACTGTCACGTACTTATTTATAATGCAAAAAGAAAAGAAGCACTAAAATTTAAATACATTCATTTCATAAAAATTTAATGTAAAACTAAAATTTGTTGAAATTAATTTCATTTCCTTTTAAAAAATTAGAAGACAAAAAAAATGAACGACGAAATGCCAATTCATTTGAATGATTGAAATAGCTGCGCGTTTCTAATCAATTCTTATCAAATCAATCTTTTCAGTTTTTTACTTTAAAAAAAAAGACATTAACGAGTGAACTTTGATGGGAGCGATATTTTTCCTCGTTATCATCATTTATCATTCATTATATATTTTTTCATTCAATAAAAATTATTCTTAAATGACCTGGAAATTATCCTAATCTGTTCAGTGTTATATCCGATCGACCTGAAATTAATCTAATCTGATCAATAAGTACTTTTGAGGTAATTTTATGCCAATAAATTATCTTTAAATGATCTGAAATTATCCTAATCTACTCATTGCTATTTCTTATCGACCTGAAATTAATCTAATCTGATCAATTAGTACTTTTGAAGTAGTTTTTTGCTAACAAGTTACTTTTAAATGACCTGAAATTATCCTAATCTGTTTAATGCTACATCTGATTGACCTGAAATTAATCTAATCTGATTAATTAGTACTTTTGAGGTAATTTTTATTTGCTAATAAGTTATTTTGGAAAAAAAAAAAATTAATTCTTCGATATTTTTCATCGCTTTTCGAATCTCCTCAATTTATCGCTTATTTATACATTCACAATTAAATCATACGGAATATGCAAATAATTAATTCTGCTAATTCATTTAGCACATTCTGTTTCATAACACCTTTTAACATTTTCAAACAGAATTAATTCCTTAAAAAGTAATCATAATAAAATTTAGGAAAAAAAGATTTAGTAAAATTTCATGAATCATTTAATCAGTTATTCTTGTTGACAGTTAAAAGTAAAAATGTTCATTTTAAAGGACCTTCAAGAAATAGTTCATAATCCAACAAAAAAAATTAATATAATTTCATTCAGCGAAAAAGCTGGTGAGATTAAATGATAATAAGAAATATTTGGTTGAAAGGTAAAAAAAAGTGCGCTGAAAATATCTTTCCCATTTTTAATCAATTTTATATTAAATGGATGAATAATAAATTATTCTTTATCCATACATATAATATAGGGAAAATATTAAATTGTAAAAATATTACTCGAAGGATTTTATTTACTTATTATTATTTATTAATATTAATTATTATTATTTATTATTATTGCTGTTATCATATTTATTAATTATTATTTATTAATGTTAATTAGTATTATTTGTTATTGATTATCATTTATTATTATTATTATTGTTATTATTATTGTTACTTATTATTATTTTTATTACCAATGTTATTGTTATTATTGTTATTATCAATTGTTATTATTATTGTTACTATTATTATTGTTATTATTTTTATACCATTGTTATTGTTATTATTGCTATTATCATTGTTATTGTTATTATCATTGTTATTAATATTGTTACTATTATTATTATTGTAATATTATTTTTATTCAGTTATTATTTTTATTAATATTATTAATAGACTAACTATTGTTGCAACTATATGTGATTAATAAAGTATGTGAACAGGTAACATACAAATACATAAACGAAGCGCGATTTATACAAACAAATGAATCTGTGACGCATGTATATATGCGTATACAAGATACGTATCAAATATTATTGCTAATTAAATGGTATAATTAAATATTTACGTAAAAGTAAGACAAAAGCCAATTAAAAATGGGAAATTATAATTTCCACTTTTTTCATAGCAAAAATTACACTCAAAAAAAAAGATTAGAATAGAAAAATAAGATATAATTTCAAGGAATTATTATATTCTATTTTCTTTTTAACTTCTAGTATTTGTTTTATTAAAACAAAAAGAGAATCAGAATGGGAGAGTCAGATGGGAGAGCGCAAATGACACAACAGGAACATACGAATATACACAAACATATAAATAAACAAGATTGGTAAGGACAGAAGAAAACAGTATTGTTGAATGCGGGATGGTAAATGATGCAGGGTGATGCAAGACCGGTTTGTTGTAAATTGTCATTAATCGTAAAACGGATGTATTTAGTTCTTCCTAGATATGGAGATTTTTGTAATTTTACAAGAAAAAAATGGAAAGATTTTTTGCAATTTTTGTTTTTTTTAATTAATTTTATAGCTTAATTATTAAACAAAGGTGTTTTTTTTATTAGATTATAAATGTTAATTATATGTGTGTTAATTAATTTTATAGTTTAGTTATTAAACAAAGCTATTTTTTTATTAGATTATAAATGTTAATTATATGTGTGTTAATTAATTTTATAGTTTAGTTATTAAACAAAGGTGTTTTTTTTATTAGATTATAAATGTTAATTATATGTTATGTTAATTAATTTTATAGTTTAGTTATTAAACAAAGCTATTTTTTATTAGATTGTGATTGTTAATTATATGTGTGTTAATTAATTTTATAGTTTAGTTATTAAACAAAGCTATTTTTTTATTAGATTATAAATGTTAATTATATGTGTGTTAATTAATTTTATAGTTTTATTAAACAAAGCTATTTTTTTATTAGATTATAAATGTTAATTATATGTTATGTTAATTAATTTTATAGTTTAGTTATTAAATAAAGCTATTTTTTACAAGATAAATGTTAATTGTATGTATGCATTTGTGGTATTTGAAATTGTATGCATTTGTGGTACTTGAAGGTATGTTATAGATGATAACATATCATATCATTTAACAATAAAAGAAATATAATTAATAAAAACAAAAAATTGGGATCGTTTTCATATTTATATTATTGCTTTTTATTCAAACAATATTAACTAAGACATCATCGATCAAATAAATGATAATATTTGGGTAAGTAAGTTGTCAATAATTTAGCAGGGAATATATGAATGGAGAAGTGTTATCGATGAGGTGATTAATTGAGGTAGTGAGAAATATCATAGTGGTAAAGAATGAAAATTTTTGTAGAAAATATAGGTGGAAGTGTTGATGAAGGAAGAAGTAATTTTTGTAATGAAAGTAAACATTTCAATGATTGGATAAGATTATTTCATTGCTAACTTATTCACTCTAATTTTAACATCAAATTCAACTGTGTATGCTTTTTTGCTGTCAACAATTTATCACTTCAAAAATTTACAGTTATTTTATACAGTTGACAAAAAATGCTAAATGATTCTCTGATTGAAGAAAACAAATAGAAATCATTATTTCCAGGTATATTTTCACTATCAACACTAATAATATTTACACTGAACATCTGATAAGCTAATTTTTTGAATTTCAAACTTTCACATTAAAATATTCGATAACACTGATCGATCAATGCAATCAATCTACCCCGATCATCTGATTAGCTAAATTTTTGAATTTCAAACTTTCACATTAAAACATTCGATAACACTGATCGATCAATGCAATCAATCATGAAATTATGATTTCATTTATTAATCAATTTGAACTATTTAATTTTGTTAGATTTGGAAATGAAATAATTTTGTCTAAATTACTCCAACTAATTATTAAGCCTGAAACAAAAATGAATTTGAATTTGTCAATAAAAAGGTCAAACATTACGAAAAGCTGGAAAATGAATATTAAATAAATGGAAATGAATAACTGAATAAGTTAATGAATAACTGAAATGGATATTAAATGGATTGTATTTCAATCAAATGACTTCGGATAATTTCAACTAATAAACAAGTATCATCAATCAATTTTTTGCTTTTTCAATTATTTAAAACATTTCAAAGAGGATTACTAAAAAAGAAACAGAAAATGAAAAGTAACAATTTGTAGGAGATGAAATAGAGAAATAGAAATGAAATGTTTTAAAGTTAATACTATCCTCTTACGCTCTAATTGTCATCAAATGCATGTACCCAACCAGTATTTCAATTTATTCGAAATGAAGGAAACATTTCAGTGTTATTAATTGTATGATCCGATTGTTGTTAAATTTACAAATAAAATAACCGATTGTTAAATTTACAAAATAAGATTGTATCATTGATCTCTTTTAATTCCCGAAATCTCAGTGCAAAACTTTTACTTCTTCGACGAATTCAATCGTACTTCTCTTCTAACAAATGACGATGACGGAAAAAGTTCATATCGGTTATTTTGACATTTATTCTAACTGTATCCTCATTTACTTCAAAAAATATCTGTTATCTTCGAGGTATTATTTGATAAGTGAAAATGATTACAGCTTCTATCAGAGATTTATTTATTAGAGAAGATAGCTACTAGCGATTTAATTAGTAGAAAAAGATGTTCCAGGTGAAAATTCAATGTTGTAAAATGTTGAAAATAAACTATCATTGTGACAAAATTCGAGTTAAACACTGTGAACCAATTTGAACTAATTAATCTATTCTAAAATATTTGGCATCATTTTCTTAATTTTGTTACGATCGATCAGATAGTACCTTGAAATAGTACGTTATGATGATCGATCAGATAGTATGCTATAATCGATTAGATAATACCCTTAGTGATTTCGCCACATCCATGATATTCTTTTGCAATCGTATATATCTGATGTAAATGATAGATTATTTTCAACATTTACGCTTATTAGTTATCACATGATAGGGAGGGGTCTATACCCGCAATTTACCTGTACTATATGGATCCAATTCTATTTATAAAACTTCATTTAATTGATAAAAAACTTGATGCAAGCAATATCTCTGTTAATTTCAAATTTTATAACACTTATTTTGATAATTAAGTCAGGCAAATTATTAAGTTGGAAATGAAACAAAATTATAGCTCGAAGTTATGAATAACTTAGTTACATATAATTACGTGATTTAAGTAATATTTGACGTTCTTAAATATCTATTACGTGATTTTTGTAATATTTTGCATTGTCAAATATTTTTTAAGAGCAACTAATTTATTTATAAAGCTTTGTAGAAATTAATCATTCAGATATTTAAGAATAAATTAATACTTCACAAATTTTGTCCCTAAAAATTCATTTTTATTTTATCGCCTACGTGTTTAATTAAACATCCATTATGAATTCATATAAAAAGGAGAAATTTTGGAATAGAGACGGCAACGGTGAATAATATAGTAGGGATAATTAAAGATTAAGTTTAAATCCTTCCATCATTAACAAGAATATATCACAAGTACTATTTGTGAATTTATATGATTACTTTGTTTGATTAAACAAATAGGCACTAAATTAAAAGCTGTTTAATTACTTGCTTACTACCACCTATTTTTAATGAAAATAACTTCGGTTGAATTCTGTTTATAACAAAATTTTAATCCTTTAAATTTTATGTTCAAATTCAACCTTAAATTATGTTAATTTTAAAAGTAATTTTAAATGAACTTTCACCTTTTATAAAATTTCTCGTAATTTAAAATTTAAAATGTTTCATTTAAAATTTTCAATTTCCAAACATTTTTTATTTATAATTAAACTCAAAAAATTCATTTAAGATTTTATTCTAAATGTTTAAAATATTCAAATGAGTATATAATAGTTAAAATTGGAAAAATAGAATAATATAATATAATAGAATAGAATAGAATAAAAATAGAATGGAATACAAATAGAAATAGAATAAAAAGAAAAGAAATAGAATAAATGGAATAAAAATAGAAAATAGAAATGATATCCATTTTAAATTATAATTTGACTTCTCTTTCCAAAATTGGTAATCTTTAAACAAATGAATTAGCATAATCTGGCTATCAAATATAAGAGGAGGATAAGTGATCTTTTGACTGGTCAACTGGTCATCCGATATCTGATATTCAAGAATTTTATTAGATATAATTTTAGACCATGAACATGACATACATATAATTACCAATGCAAAATAACTTATTGCTCGAAGACGGTCAGGTAATCGCAACTAATGAGATGAGACTGGAGCTTGTTTCACTATCTATTATGGCTCATATTAGTGGCCAAGTTGGCCAGAGAGATGTCACGAAAGTGATCAAATGTTGCTGGACTTACAAATTGAATTTATTTATGTAATTCTTTTCTATCTTCATTGTTAGAAAAAATATCTGCATATGATGTAAGAAATATAAAACAATTAGGCCAAGTGTTTCATTGTTCATTGAAAAGATTTGGAATTTGAATAGTATGATGACCTCTGCAGGTCAAATTAGATGATCTTATCGTTTTCAATGTGATTAAATGAATTAATATGGATCGTATGCTTAGTTATTTTCAGCTTCTTCCTTTTTTCTGATAACATATACTTATCATATATTTGCACATACTGTAATTTTTCAAATCGATAGATATTGATTAATTACAAATAATCACTTGAGCTATTGTAAGTTTACAATCTCAATTTTAAGTTCTTTTTGTTCTCAACTCAGTTTGACTAATTAAAAGAGATAATAAATAAGCCATTAATAATAAGCAATGATAAATTGAATTATCAATGTTGAGTAAATTTTCTTTTATGTGTATTTCACATTTTTAACACAAATTGTATCAAATGATTTGAAGTGATCGGATTATCTTGCATTTCCGGATAAATCAATACTTTTAATTATTTGTTGGCTGATTAACTTCAATCCTGTAAATGAAGTTGTATTTAGTTTAGAATATATGAGATCGAAATTCATTAAGTTCAATTTAATTATAATATTTTAATCTATTAACAATAATATTTCGTCTAGCAATTAGATTCATATTTTTAGCTTCAAATTTTGCTTTTATACTAAAAATTTATATTTAAATCAATTGTTTGATAGTATTCATTATCTTGTTGAAATTAGCAAAAAAAATAGAAAAAGTTCTGATAACTTTTTATCAGAATGATATATCAGTGATAAAAATGAGATAAAACTTACTGATAATATCGTGAAATAATTTATCAATCATTTTTTACGAAAATATCCCAACGATTCATATTCCCAATCGTATGGATATTCTTTCAAATGTGCTTCAAATAAAATTTTTCGAAGCAACTAAAAAAATGAAATTTTTCCAATGCGCAATTTATGTGCGCAAATTGACTCGTCTATATTACAAATGAATGTTGTTGAAATTGAAGGAAATTGGCATTCTTACTTAAATATCGATATACAGATAGAGAAGGAAACGGTATTCTTACTTAAATATCGATGTATCGATATACAGATAGAGAAGGAAATGGTATTCTTACTTAAATATCGATGTATAGATATATAGATAGAGAAGGAAATGGTATTCTTACTTAAATATCGATATATGGATTGAGAAGCATTTCTACTTAATTATTAATTCCATTTAGTTTTGCAAAACTTCAAATTACGAATGATCCAATTAATAAAATGTTGTTTACTAATCAAAATTTAAGTATTTAAATATTAGTGGAATGAATGAAACCTTATAGATAAGATCATAATCCGGTCTTGATGTATGTTTTAATTTACATATATATTTCATAATTTCTATATATTTTTTTGGACAATATTTTAGCAACTTTTGCATGCCATCATTTGTTCGAATTGTCTCCTGTAAAGTAAGAATTTTAGCAGATCGATGTAATTCAATACTTATATACCGAAATTATATTTACTCAATTTAAAAACTTATTTCCAATTTAGAGATTCCTGCAACACTAATATAATAAGATAAGAGGAATCATGTACAAATGAATTTCAGTACTTACATACTTCCTAGAAAGGAATTGACATTCACTTAATTTTAAAAGTTACTTTCGATTTAGGGGAGCTGTCACGAACAAGTACAATTGATTACTTTTTAAAAAATGTAACTATGATTGATTGTAATATTGAAAATGCAAAAAGTGTAACTGATATGATTTAGTTTTGAAAAAATGTTTAAAAAAAATACTTTAATAGTCATAATAGCTTGCTCATCATCGAGATTTTTCCACGGTAAATATCCTGTCGTAAACTCGATCTGCTGATACATCCAAGATTCGAGATCATCACGACGACCTGGTGGACGACGTTGATGACATCCTAATGGTGCATAACGTAATGTTCCTTTGAAGCTAATATCCTAGATATAAGCTTAAATTATGAGCCAAAAATTAAAAAAGTTTATAGATAGAAATTATTTAAAAAAGCAGTATCACGTACACGTTTCGCAGGTTTTAATCGATCATTCGAATCGACGTAATGATAACTCAAACCAAAATCAATGAGAAAAATTTTCCGAACGCCATGTAAAAGATCATTTCGTCCGGTAGCAAAATTTGATGGTTTTATATCGCTTAAAAATTAATGCAAATTAATTTCAATAATATGTATACAAAAAAAGAGAGAGAGAGATTTCAGGTTGATAAGAATATACTGTTCAGGAATAATTAACGGTTTGCATATTATTATATTAAATTAATTAATTGAATGTAAATTAATTATTTGAAATATTAGGCCTAAATAATTTTATAATATTCTTTATGACAGATATTTTCTTCTATTATTAGAAGGCAAATTGCAATATTGATTGAACTCACCGATGTATGAATCCAACTCGATGAAGTTCTTCGATTGCTTCAACACATTGTAAACCAACCGAAATAACACATCCGGCAGAAAGCTTTTTCTTTTTCTGCTCCATCAGAATATCCTAATATTATCAAATTTTCTTTTCAAAATTTTTAAAGAGAAAATTTTTGAAATTAAAATTTAATTCAAAAAAAAAGTTTACTAACTTACTCGTAATGATTTACCAACAAGCGTCATTACAATATATTCACAGCCATGATAATTTCCATCATCGATAAGACGACAGATATGCTTACTTTCCGCTTTTTTAGCTAATTCTAATATATGCTTTTCAACTGATAGCGGTTTCTAAATTGCAACTAAAAGTTAATTCAGAAATATGTAAAATTTCTTTTTTAAAAAATATTGAATAAATGGTAACCTTTTTTCCATACTATTGTAATAGTATGACGAACAATGATAGTATGATAAAGTGATAATGGCTGCTTTTTTAAGTATATTATTGTAATAGTATGACAAGCAATATACTATGATAAAATGATAACAGCTACTTTTTTAAGTATGCTGTGTATTAGTATGACATGCAATGATAATATGATAAAGTGATAGCGGCTACTTTTCAAATGTACTATTGTAATAGCGTGACATGCAATGATAGCATGATAAAGTGACAATGGCTACTTTTTTAAGTATACTATTGTAATAGTATGACAAGCAATGATAGTATGATAAAATGATAACGAATGGGGTTACTTAAACAAATGGCTGAAAATAGTATACTCGATTTTCAATGGTGTGAAATGCAACGAGTGCATAATAATATATGTAGCGCATTTCATCTGTTCATTATAAAAGCGGAATAGATGATGCGATAAGGTGATTGGTTATTGATTATCAGTATGATATGAATGTAGTTAGCGATGATATCACAACTATCCACTTCATAAGGACAGTTCCGGTAAAAGCTCATGTACTAAATAATTATTTGCTTGGTAATGTATTTTTAAAAAAAAATCAATTAATTACTTCATTACAATATCCGAGATCGAATTTAAGCGCATACCGTTCACCATGATATCCAACCTGTAATAATATTAATTCTGATCATTTGTAAAAATTAATTTGTTGATGATCAAATATGTTGTGATGTGGTAATGTTTTTAAAATTTAGAATATGCCATCATCAATGTTGTATCAATTAGTTAAATTAGTGTAATAATATTGAAAGACAAACTTTGTAAACACATCCAAATGAACCTTTACCAATAAGCTCCAAAATTAGCCATTTATTGACTCGATCATTCTTTTTTAATTTCGTGATACTGACAGCTTTCTCATTTTGCTTCTTCTTTTTGCTATCTTCTTTTAATGAGAAATTTACTGATAACTTTCTTCGTAAACGTTTTAACAATGATTTTTTTGTTGATTGAATAGCAATTGCAGTATTATCATCAGTTTGTGATGATGTACCTAATGAAAATTCTATCGCTGTACCTTTCACATTATCATCTATTGCTTTTGTTGCTGCCACCGATTTCGACGATTTAGTTCCCGATGTTGTTTGTTGAAACATAATAAATTTTAGCAACTGAAATGGATATTTCCCTTACATCAATCAAACAAACCATTTGATAAAATTAAAAAAATGATTAAAAATGATAGTATGATATGTTTATAAATTAAATGTATCTTTATAAATTAGCATAATTTAGCTTAAAAATTTGCATTTTTGTTTTTGGATGAACTTTTTTCGTTTGGCAACTATTTATTATTATTATTATTTATTATTATTTATCTTTATTACTATTAATATTAATTATTATTAATTGCTATTCTTATCAATTATTATTATTAGTTGTTATTGTTTTTTATTATTATTTATTATTCTTAATTATTATTGATTACTGTTTAATATTTATTATCATTTATTACTATTATTTATTATTTATCACTTATAATTATTAGTATTAATTATTATTATTAGTGTTATTATTAATCATTATTTTTAATTATTGTTATTAATTATCATTATTAATTATTATTAGTTATTATCGTTAATTATTACAATTATAAGAATAGCTAAATTGCATGGTGTGAAATGTGGTTGATATGACAATTGATAAAGAAGGAAATAAACATTATCATTATTATCAAGGTCAAGCGATTGTTACCGTAAATGTGATAACTATCAGTATGATGCATAATATGCATAATATATCACTTTGGCAAGTTCTCTGATGACAGCTGAGAGTACTTCCTGAACGCAATTCACTTAGTATAATGGTCAGGCGCGTGTAACTTCGTACCAGTCGTTTATACGTCCTTCTATTTAGCGTTAAATTTCCAAAATATTACATCGGTCATACATTTTGATTACACAGCCGTATACACTCAGAATGCACATGCACACGCACATGAAGATGCGTATACACATACACACGCATATACCGACGTGCACGTGTAACATATCATGATTATATATATGAATGCAATTATATTAATGATTTGATCACGACTTTGATGTTAAGCAGGAAAAATCGGAATACTCCCGATATAAATTTATTAAAAAAATATTCTCCAAGAAAACTCGGGAATATTTCGGTAGAAAATTTTAGAGAATAAAGAAGAAATCAATTTCAACATTGTTGTTATTTTTATGGTCAATTTTTTTTAATAGGAATATCCAATGAATTAATCATTGCATCCCAAAAATTAAGTCTAAACGAATTTCATTATATTTTGATTTGTCATACTGAAAAGTTTCTTCCACTTTGTTTACATATAATATTGTAAACAAAATAGACGAAGTTTTGCTTTCTTTCTTTTTCATTTTAATTTCTACAAAATATCACCAATTAATTAATTTCTTCCATTTATAATTTTAGCAAATTTATTTTGATTATATTTTTAATAATTAATTCAATTTAATATTAGAATTTAATTATTAGAAAAACAAAAGATTTAATTATCATAAAAAATAAAGAATGCTTGTATTTCATTACTAAAAAACAATCTTTCAAGTATTATTAATTTAAATATTTCATTAAATATTAGAATTTAATTATCAGAAAAGTAAAGAATTTAATTATCATTAAAAAAATAAACAATGTTTTTATTTTATCACTAAAAAAACAACCTTTTAAGTATTATCAATTTTTTATAAATTTAAATACATTCCATTTAACATTAGAATTTAATTATTAGAAAAACAAAGGATTTAATTATCATTAAAAAATAAAGAGTGTTTGTATTTTATCACTAAAAAACAACCTATCAAATATTATCAATATTATATAAATTAAAATACATTCCATTTAATATTAAAATTCAATTATCAGAAAACAAAAAATTTAATTATCATTAAAAAAAAATGAGGGAATTGTTTGTATTTTATCACTAAAAAACAATCATTTAAATATTATCAATTTTATATAAATTTAAATGAAAATAGAATTAAATTTCAAATGCTTCACAAAATGCATACTTCCTTTTGTATAAATATCAACGTGATAATTTCAATCGAATATTTTGTCCAAATAGATAGATTGTAGTACTTCAACCTGTCACTTACATTTATGCAAATTTATCAAAGTCTTGAAATTACCCTCATGTGTGCATTCAGCCGATCGTATCCTTTCATTTTAGTTTCATATTTATGAGTACCAATTCACGATAAGAAAACTTATGCATATTATAATTTATGCAAATTATTTCTGCGCCCTTGAAAGATTTAGCGGAGAGAGAGAGAAAGAGTGAAGGAAGAGAGAATTTTATCTAAAGGGATGATACACCGACATTCCAATTATTTCCCTTTTCAAATCATTCACAGAAATTTTGGACCTTCCGATTCATATTATTACGTAGTTCCCGAAAAATGATTATTACATATGAATTTATTTGCTCTTCCTTTCTCTCCCTCTCTCTCTCTCTCTCTCTCTGTCTTATTGTCTATCATTTTTTTTCCTTGATTTTGAAATATTTCACAAATATTGCAAAGAGTGAAAAATATGGTCAGTGTAAGGGCCAAATAAAATGACCGCTAAATTATTGTCCACCTAGTAACAATCCTATCTCATCCCATTGTTTATTGTCCAGATTATATGTTTTATTTGTCCTCTCTCTCTCTCTCTCTCTCACTCTCTCGTTTATTATTTCACATCAAATCTTTTGTTTTGCAAATTATTTTCCGTAAGGTATTATTTGTTATCCGGAAATGATGGGAAAATTTTACGGTACCATTAGTACCATTACGGTACTTTCTATATCCGATGATAAAAATTAAAGAAAAGATTTTAATTATCATTTTGTATAAAATATTTAATTATCAAAGCTTAAATATATTTTTCGGCATAGTTTATATTCTATGATAAGAATTATTTAATTTTAATTATTACTTTTTGTAAAATATTTTAAATATAATTTTTAAATGTTTTTTAAATATGCAAATTTTAAATATATTTCATTAATTATAATATTTTAAATATAATTTTATATTAATTAATATTTTATTATAATAATACTAATATATTAATTATAATATTTTGAATATAATTTTAAAATATGTTTTTTAAATATGCAAATTGAATATATTAATATAATAGTGCTAATACACTAATTATAATATTTTAAACATAATTTTTAAATATGCAAATTTTAATAATATTTCATTAATTTAAATATTTCATTATTTATTTAAATATATTTCATTAATTATAGACAAAAATTTTAGAAACAAAATTGTTTAAAATTGTTATAAAATAATTATAAAATAATTTTAATTAATAAAATAAGTTTAAATACATTTAATTTTAATTAATGTTAATTAGAAAAAATAATTAAATATGAAAATTGGACGAAGAAAGAATTGCTAATTGAATGTAATACGGTAATTCTATATAAATAATTGTGTGATAAGAGAAAAGAATGGATGAAGTGATGAACAGCAAAACAGGTTAAAACATAATGATAATAATTAAAATGAATGATGAATAATGTTGAAGCAACAATTGACCGGTTTCCTACAAACCGTATCCGAGCGTATTTTCATTCAATAAATTTTGCAAATGCAATTATAATAATTCTCATTTGATCAATACATTTTCATCGCATTTGTAAAATTTAGAATAAATTAATTTTTGCAAATATTAAAAAACAATGGTAATCAACCATTGGAACATTCTTTCGTATCGTTTTTTTTTATAGCAAAAAGTTTTCATCCGAATGGATACTAATGAGAAGTGGACATTACTTTTTGACCGATCAATTCATCATTTGTAGTAATTATTATTGTGGAGGGTGAAATATTAAGTCATTTTCTATTCTTAATGATTTTATTATAGCTAATGATAAAATATCAGTTTATCTTTTCCATTTATATATTGCTGATGAATCATATAGTATTGGATGAATCAGTTCATTTCCTGTTTCTAATGAATTTATTATAGGTAGTGATAAAATATCAGTTTATCTTTTTCATTGATTTATTATTGATAAATCATATAGTATTGGTTGAATCAATCCATTTTCTATTTCTAATGAATTTATTATAGGTAATGATAGAATATCAGTTTATCTTTCTCATTGATATATTGCTGATAAATCATATAGTATTGGATGAATCAATTCATATACTATTTCTAATCAATTTATTATAGCTAATGATAAAATATCAGTTATCTTTCTCGCTGAAATATTGCTGGAACAATCATATAGTGCTGATTAATTTGGTTTACTAATTAGTTTTTCGTTCCGATAAAAGCTATTTCAGTAATTTCATTCATATACGAAGATTGTTTAATTTAAATTGAATTTTAGATTTAACTAGAAAGTTAATATTTAGGTCATATTTTAACAGCAAAATTTAGAATTAGTTTCAATTTGTTATTATATTTTCACTGAAATTATTTCAGTGAAATATTTTCCGTCAATTCAGTCTAAATTTCATACCTTTAATTACGAATTTTGATTAACGAAAAACAATTAAAGGATGGTTTAACTATTTATTTGATTATATTATCAACTCGATCACTTCTAATGTAGAAAATTATGAGATTTCAAATCAGACCTGAATTGAAATTTGTAAAATTTAAAACTGAACGAAAAATATTTCAATGAATAAATTAATTTTACATTTGAATTTAAAGTTTGATTCCTATGCAGGAAGCTAGCAAACTTTGTGATTATCGTGCAAATCGATTATCGAATCCAGGAAGCTAGAAAAACTTTATGATTATCATAAAAATCGATTATCTAATTTGATTCTTATCCAGGAAGCTAGCAAACTTTGTTTACTACAAATATTGAGTAATCCGGATCATTATTAATGATCATAAAATTTACATTATTAATATCATCTATTATCACTTATGATAATCAGTATTTTATATCTAACCACTTTTTCACATCTCCCAACTTTTCTCAATTCTTCAAAGTGCTTTATTTCACCTATAACATTTGACCTTATATCAATGTCATTTCATTTCTTAACATTTCCAATTTGAAATCGAATTAAATTTCCTTTTTCACCTGTTTGTGTGCCCTTTTTACTGTGCAACTAATATTTCCATTTTGTCG